TTGTTGAAAACACTTCTTATATTTGGGGAGTCAAGTGGTGATGACATCAGTTTGATGAAAATGATAAGTAATAAAGTTTTATATAATAAGACTTACTTAATAAAAAAAATATTAATAAAAAAATATATTATAATATTCAGAATTTTTTTCTACTTTTATTCTGTTTTATTTATTTATTATACATTTATTATGTTTGTAATAGAATTCATAGAGGTTTCTATTCTTCGTTTGAAAATTACTGACAGCATAGTTTTCATTTGCATATTAAGTATAAATATGGTATTGGAGTCAAAGTTTTTTGGAAAAAAAAACAATTCAAATTAGAATTTTAATGTTTCTGCAATTGCTACGTGCCTCGTTGAATACTGTCAAGATCTTAAATTTATTATTATCCGCTTCGATATTTGTATAAAGTGTGAAACACATAAGCTGTGAAAGTCGCCAAACAAACAAAAACATTGGTACTAGTATATCTAATTTAAAAGAAAAAAAAACAAGCAATTCGCTATTGTCTAAATACATACATTCGTAAACGTGCTAAAACAAAATATGAAATTACAATAAAAATATTACTAAATTTGAAGAAGAAAAAAAGTTATTCAATAAAATATTCTGCGTTTTCCCGATTAGTTTCCTAGGTGTTAATTATTTGAATATAGAACTGATTTATTAAAGCATCATTTTTATTGGACTAAACGTTTAAATAAGAAATTTAAAAATCTTCTGGAGCCACAAGTCGCTTGTTCTTAACTAACGATTTAGTACCAGTTAGTGACTAGTCAAAACATAAGACTGAGTGTATGCGAAGGTTCGTGGAAATATTAAGCAGAATTAACCTCATTCATTTTTAGTGCTTTACGTAGTATATTAAAAGAAGAATCCATCCGACCTTTTTATATATCTTATATATAAACTATAATTCTTACATCTTAAATTTACAACCGCATTGATTGCTGGTTTTCTAAAAGGAATAGTCAACCAAAAACGGTCCACTTTGAATGGACGTATTTACAGACAAGAACAGCATATATGGTTTTACTATTTTTTTTTTTGCGTATTCTTATTAATCTGCGTACAAATAGCAGAACATGTCAAAGTGACAATTACCGAGCCATGCCTGTTTGTAATTTTAAAACCTACCGATGGACTATCATTGTTCCACACTGCTCCAGCACCACTGAGACCTAACTGTTTGCTCACATATTTGCGAAGATTTTCCGGTGACTTTAAATAAAAACATTTATTATTGAATATATTCAATTTTACAATTTACATTGACTTATGACATTGACTATAATTCATTCTATTACTGTCACTACCACATTTTATCTTATGACCCTAACTTTCTCTTAGCAATCAATAATCGTAGAACTCATTTACTTATGTTACAACAATTACAATTCAAACTCCCCTTAGACATATAAAAGCAACCCCACAGCTGGCCTTCAAAATCCAAGGCTTTTTACTTTGTTCATCAAAAAAGGCATCTCGGGTTAGTTGGCTTTGTCCATCCCCACAGTTTGGATATAGAAATATTTTTTTCGAGTGGGGACTTATGTACCCGGTTGGAAATCCAATTTCATCGTACAACCGTACAATTTAATACTTTTAAGAATGGTTTCATCGATGTGTACCCAACTAATGTTTGGTTTTGCGATTATTTACGAACTTTTTACAAAAGCCAGTAATCTAAATCACATCTTTGCATATAACAGTCACAATTTTACCTTAAGTTTTTATTAATTTAGTGGAATTACTTGTTTGTAGGTTCATTAAAGATGGTCCAAGAACTGAAGCCACTTGACCATCATAAGCGTCATTGTTTGCTGATTGAGCTCTAGACAAACTCGAAAATAATGGCGATTTTTTCAAAAAAAAAAATAAGATTTTCCGATGAAGTTCATTTTTGATTAAACGGCTTTGTGAATAAGCAAAATTGTCGTTTTTTGAGTGAAAATAATTCACACGAAATTCTTGAGAAGCCTTTGCATCCAGAAAAAGTCACTGTCTAGTGTGGTTTATGGCATGGTGGCATCATCGGACCATATTTTTTCGAACATGGTGTAACAGTCAACGTGAAAAGTTATCGAACGATGATAACGGATTTTTTGTGGCTTCAGTTGGATGAAATGGATTAGGATGGCATGTTTTTCCAATGGGACGGTGCCACATGTCAACACTACTGCCTCAACTATTTATGTATTGAAGGAAAAGTTCCCGGAAACATTGATTTCTCTTGATGCCAGAGATCCCAAGAGAATTCAAAAACTTCAACCGGATGCTTGGCCTACAAGAAGCTGCTATTTAACACCGTTGGATTATTTTTTTATGGGGTTATGTTGGGGTTAAATCATTGGTCTATGTCAACAAACCACAATATATTGAAGAATTGAAGAGGAACATAGAGCACACCATTTTTTACCGTTTTCGTTTAAAAAAAAACATCAGGACATTCTTATTGGGAGACCTCATATACCACTTCCAACAGAAGTATTTTACTTCTATATTTGAGTTTTTTCGATAGTGTTAAGTAATAATATACATAGCTTTCATTTGCTTTATATTTGATACCTCGCGTTTTTAACAGCTGGCAACCCTAATTTCCGACCATATTAAAAAAATATATAGCTTTAATTTGATATAAAAAACATGCATAATACGTCATGAGTAGAGTATTTTATTTAAAAAATAAATGAACGAAATAAAATTGTTGTTTAATAATTAATTAACATTATTTGAATTAAAACTATTTGCAGCAACTTTGTGACGGGCAACCTGTTATCACTATAGTCTCCTATTCTTTAATGCATGTAAAAATGTGAGTTTGATTAACTACGTTATGAGCGTATTGATCTTGCAGTGGGATCTCGTACTCTTACTTAGTATAAAAAATTAAAAAAAACGTCATTTGTCTCGTTTTAAACACAGAAGCTTTATTAGACGATATAATTTTATTATACAATAAAAAATCAATTATAGTCCAGTTGTCAGAGATTTGACCTCTAAATATCATAAGAACAAGCTGAATTTTACTGAGAATATCAATTTTGGGACTCCAAAAAAGATGCAAAAAAAGTTTAACACTTTTACCACAGGCTGCCTTCCTCCTAAAACCTCCACTCATGGGTAAGGAAAAACGGGAAAAATCGATTTACTAATAATATGTACACCGTAGAAAAAAAATGTTTCGAATAAAAAAATTAGCGAAGACAATTTTGATAAAAAATGTTTATAAGCGTTTTTTGTATAGAATTGATCGCTCTCTCAGAAACAACGATTGAAGGGATCGGTAATTTTCAATGTCAGGTACGCTCGAGAAATCAATGTTCAATCAAATTTGTATCAACTTGGCGGTAAAAATTCGATATCTTTTGTGTATTTCCGCAAATGAAGTCAATTTCTAGAAATGTGTTAAATAAATAAACGTTAGCGATTGTTACAATTTTTAACGATTCTCATGAGATCAATAATATTTATTACTTCCAATGATCGGTGACTATGGAATTTTCATTATTAGAGCCCAGTCTTCAAAACATATCGCCTGAAATTTCGATTTTAAGTTTTGGAAACAAATGTGAGGCATTTGAAATAGGTTTTGTAAGTACTTAGGTATATTTAAAAAAAAAAACCTTAAAAGGGCTACATCAAATTAACAAACGTTTTGGGAATAATAATTCCATCATCAGGTTAAGCAGGTTAACATGCCTGAGCCACCAAAAAATTACTTAAATTTTTTTTTCCCTACTATTTTGGTGGCTCAGGCATGTTAACCTGATGATGGAATTATTCCGAAAATGTTTGTTAATTTCATGTAGCCCTTTTAAGGGTTCTTTAAATATACCTACTTACAAAGATTTAACCTCTTTTTGTGATACATGGTATACAGCCAGCTGCAGGAATTTATTTTCCTTGTGGATTATGCTGAATTTGAACATTCACACCACAAAACGATCGCATTGTCACAGCAAATGATTCCACGAAAAGAGTATTCTTTTCCGAAAAGAGTATCCTATATTCGTAATCAAAAGTAGCAAATGCTTTAGATTGTTTTTAATGTAAAAGTTTCAATTTATCGTTTTTAGGCATATTTCAAATGCTTCACATTTGTTCTAAATCTCAAAACCGAAATTTCAGGCTATCTTTTGAATCTTTGAATAATGGCATCTAATAATGAAAATTCCATAGTGACCGATCAATAGAAGTGATAAATATTATTGATCTCATGAGAATTGCAACAAATGGTAAAAATCAGTAAACGTTCATTTACTTAATACCTTTATAGAAAGTTTCTCCATTTGCGGCAAAAGATGATTTCTTCAGCTTTAAAACGCATTTTGATTTTTGTTAATGACACTCTGATCAAAAGATATCGAATTTTTACAGTCAAGTTGATATAAATTTTATTTAAAGTTGATATTTGTTTAAAATCATCTTAGCTACGTTTTTTGTTTTGAATTTTTTTCTATGGCGTAAAGATTTTGTTTTGGTAAAACGATTTTTCCGTTTTTTCTCCCCTGCGGAGGTAGGTGAGTGGTAAACTTTTTTTCATTTTTTTTGGTCCCAAATTGATACTTTCATCAAAATTTTGCTTGTTCGTACGATTTTTAGAAACTCAGTAGTATTTTCGTCTTTGACGACTGGGGTATAGAAGCCTATAAAAAATTTAAATTGTTTTGGAAGAATATAAACTGTTTAAACAAATTACATTTTTTATTTATTAATAGTACACATACAAATTAAAAATCAAAATCCATCAACTAGAATTGGAGATACAGAAACTTTGAATTTTTGGTTATTTTCTTCACGCGGTCCAACGTGTTCATTAAGCCTCATTTTTTAACACACGGGCATTGCTGTGATCTATTAAGCATAATCTTATTTAAAGTTTGCATAATGATACTATAAGTATTTATCTTTACAATCAGACTACTTACGTTTTTTAATGATTATAAAGAAATTAGCTGCGAATATACAAAGAAAATCACTAATCACATTCTTACCTAATCGTCCCATAATCACTATTTTTTCGTCTATGAGAAATAGTTTAAAAGTTATTCTAATTGTTTATTATAAGTTCAAAATACCAGTAACACTTATTCTTCTTCTTCTGCTTCTTCTTTGGGTGCCGTCTTCTTAGTTAAGGTTGGCGATGACCTCTGCAAAGTCTTCCCTATTTTGGGCTTTCCTTATAAAACTTTGAAAGTCTAATCCTGTCCAATTTTTGATGTTGCGCAGCAAGGTCATTTGTCGTCTACCCGGGCCGCGTCTGCCTTCTATTTTTCCTTCTATAATAACCTGAAGGAAGTTATACCTGTCGTGTCTAAATATGTGTCCAAGATAAGACGTTTTACGTTTCTTGACAATTTCTGTGAATTCACGTTTTCTATTCATACGCCTTAAAACTTCTTCATTTCGAACGCGGTTGGTCTATGGAATTTTCAGCATACGACGAAATACACACATCTCAAAGCTCTCTAAACGTCGCAACGAGCTGATTGTTAACGTCCAAGCTTCCACGCCATGTAATAGTACACTATATACATAACAGTTTATCATGCGGCATCGTATTGACAAATCAAGATTACGGGTAGTGAGTAACTGTCGCATCTTTAAGAAGGTGTTTCTTGCCTGTTCTATTCTACATTTAACCTCTTGTTCTTGGTCTAAGGTTTTATGTATCCACCAGCCTAGATACTTAAACTTTTTCACTTGTTCAACTAGATTGTTGTTGACTAATATGTTTATAACGTGTGTGTTTTTTTGAAATTACCATTGTTGTGTTTTTTTTTACATTCACCTTAAGGCCGTATAGTTCTCCTTTTCGCACTACTTTAGTTAACAGAATTTATAGTTCGTCTTCACTGCCAGCATCAGTACTGTATCATCGGCATACCTGATATTGTTCACGATTTTTCCATTAACTTTTATTCCTTCTTGTGCTTCATCTAGAGCATGTGCAAAGATGTCCTCTGAATACAAGTTGAATAATAATGGTGATAGTATACAACCTTGTCTAACTCCTCTTTGGATGTTTATGGTTTCTACAGATGATACAAATGAGTATTTTTCGGAAACAGTTACGTTACGTTCCGGTTCCATGTTCGTATCTGTTCCAAATACTAGTTACTTTTTAACCTAGTATTTTTTACATTTGTACTCCACGTCTATTCCAGACGCAGGTCGCAGTCTGTAAGGAGGACAATTGTTAACGAAAAAACGAAATCGCTTGAAAGACAATAAATTAGAGCAATTATTATTTTTAAGTGTTTAAATCAATTTTTTTCTAATTTTTTACATATAAGTTATATTTTTTATTTTGTTATTTTTTTAAACGATTTCATTTTTTTTTATTTTTGTGTTAGATACACTTATCTAGTTTATTTTAGTAAATAATATGTATATTTTAAGAATTACAGTTTTATTTAAATAAATATGTTTTACCATAAACAAAATAGTTATTCTATTATAATACAAAATATAAATGGGACTCCATGCCCACCCGTAAAAATAAACAAAAGGATTCAATAAGTATCGCTTACAATGTTATATGGGTCCTATTATCCCATATCAAATGTAATGTGTAATTGCTTTTTTTTTTAATTTTCAATATATTAAAAAGTTATTTGCACACGTAGAAAATTTATATACTCTTTTATTTTTAGTTTCATAAGAAATATGTGTTACACTCAAACAAAATTAAATTAAAATACTTCTAGAATAATATAGTAAAATCAAGGAAGCAATATTATGACAGATTTAATACGTTTAATTTCACATCTTGCATACACCACCGTAATAATCCCGACGTTCGAACCGCCAATCCTAAGTATCTACAAGCTAGAATATTACCTACCCAAAAAATGCAACTAATACCATTCTAATACCAATACCAAAATATCGATAACAAAGCGCAGCGCAGATATCGAGTATCGGCGTTATTGTGTTGTGTACAGTAATAGTACCAGTAACAGTTACCAGGCCTGATACATTCTGTGCCGCGTCGTGTCGTTTGAACAAATCTAGATGGAACTGGAACTAGTATTTTAGAAAACCGGTAACTGTTACGTTACGTTATATGCTCATACCTATTACCAAATACTTGCTCCTAGTATTTCGTATCATCTCTAATGGTTTCAGTATCACCCATTTCAAATCTGACAGAGGCGTTTTGGTTCCAGTAGAGTTTACGTATTGTATTATGCGTAAAATTGTATTATATGTCGTTTCGATCCAAGTTTTTTTTTTGCAAGCATTGTATTAGCTGATCGTGTTTGTCTTTGTCAAAAAGCCTTTTTATAATCTATAAAGCACAAGTAGACATCTTTTTGTTGATCCCGATACTTTTGCATGAGAACAATGAAACTGAACAAAGCTTCTAGAGTTCCCATACCGTTTCGGAAGTCAAATTGTTCCGGACCCATATCTTCTTCGCATTTTTTGTAAATTCTGTTATGGATAATTTTTAGAAATAGCTTCAGAATATGAGGCATGAGACTTACTAATCGAAAGTCATTACATTTTTTTGCGTATTTTGATTTAGGTATAGGCACAAACGTAGATGTTAAACCAATCTTGTGGAATTGTACCAGTCTTGTATATACTGTTGAAGAGTCATGATAATAGTTCTAAATTGTCTTCTTCCAAAAGTTGAAAAATTTTACTATGAACATACTCAGGTCTTGAGGCGTTTCCAGTTTTCCCATTGTTCCCATTCAACGCATATTTCTTCTATTGTGGTCAGGACTCTATCATCCGTACTTTTTATTATGCCACACTGTCTAGTGATTCTGATCCCACACATTTCTTTAATTTTCTTATGGAGAAGCCTATCATCATGTTTATTCTGTAGATTTCTTCGCAAGTTTCTACAAGCCACTTTGTTTTTGCTTCCACTATCTTTTTTCTTATTAGTCTTTGTATTTCTTTATATTTATTCCAGTTGTTGTTCTTGTGTTGTCGTCTCACATTTATCATTTCTAATATTTCATTAGTTATCCATGGTTTCTTGCCTCTTTGATTCGTGTATTTAAGGTGGTTTTTAGCTTTTAGAAATACAGTCTTAAGTTCTTTCCATATTTGGTTTAAGTCGTCGGATTCTTCTCCTGCATCATTTTCCTTTTGTCTGTTTTTAAGTTCTCGACAGTCGTGATTAAGTTCTTGTGATATATTCTGTCTCGTTTCTAACACAGAAAAAGTAACAGTGACACTGCAAAACGATTTTTAAGAAGCAAAAACTGAAGCAACTTAGTTGCTTTCATCAAGTCCTCGTAGACACACCGTCTCAGGACCAGTAACTTCACGTGGAGTCATACGTCGCCATGTTACCAAATGCACTGGTAACTTTAACATCATAATTTTTAATAACACATAATGTAAACTAAATTTAAACAAAAATTTTGTAACGGGTTTTTACCCACATATTTAGTGGCTACGTACATATATACCTAGGCACTGATGTTGGAATATGGATTCCGAAAACGTTTTGTGATATAGCCCGATTGGGTTTTTTAAATTATATATCTTTTATAAACGATTTTTAATAAAAAAATTTTAATTTAAATAATTTACGAGCTAATTAATTACTGATGGATCGATCTAAAATTTTGAGGGTTTATTAAGCACTACAAGTCACCCCTTTGAGAGTAATCACAAAAGTATAAGTTAATTCATTATTTTGCCGATTTTTTGAGGAACTAGTTGCTTAAAAAGTTTATAATACGCCATTTTAAAGGTTTTCTATCTATTAACAGAAAAAATGTTTATATTTAAGCAAATATAAATAGTTTGAATGATAACCGAAAATTCGAAAAAATCGCATTTCTCGAAATAAATTGTAAATAACTAAAAAATCACGCCAAACTTTCTGCAGAAGTCGTATAGATTTGCTTACTATAGGCATATATTAACGGAAAAACCCATCAAATACCTGGCTAGTGCAATGTCCCGAGAAAAAGTTATTTCCCTGGACTAATTGTATTTGCTCACAATAAATGCCTTTCCTCTACCAGTAATCAGGTTTTACTTTATTGGTAAATGTAGCTTTGGCATATAATACATTTACCCCATGGTAAATGGTAAAAAATGGAAACAATTATTTCCGCATTATGATTATTTATTTTTAAAAGTATATGTTAGCACCTAGAAACTCCATGCCTTATTTTAAGATGTTTGTCTAGGGTAAATTTTCTATGGGTTTTAAAGCTGCAATGTTCAAAACTACACGAGAATGCGGGGATTTTCCCACATTCATACTTCATGTGCCTATTTCTTGTGCCTATCTGTTTATAGGTTCTACTACATCTAGGACATTGCAGTAAACCTAAAATAAAAATAGTTAATATAGAATCTTCGAAAAATCCTAACCAGGATAGGCTGCGCAGTAAAAAACTCTTTCACTTGGGATTTTACACGGTTCCACACAATAGTACATAACACAAACATAAATATACCCCGTTGCTTACAAGCTTTTGCTTTCACAAAAATTTAAAGAAAATGTGAAAATCTAAAACAAAATCCTTCTGCATACCATGATTACATAAGCAGGAGTTATTTGTCAGGAATGTAATACAACTCAGAAGCAGGTGATTAAAGGTTAAACGCGATTTATCCCCGGACTGATCTTTATGTATTCCTCAAAAATTATCCATGTAAACACTCATCAGAATCTTTTAGACCACTTTACCATCGCCAATTCCATTGGTGTGGTAAATAAATAGTGACTTTAATAAAGAATTAAATTATGCAAATAAATTCCAAGTTTAAAAGTTATTTCTGAGTTATAGAGATTGAATCCAATAACTATATTGCGAAATTTATGAAAAAGTTCATTTACAATAATAATTTGCATAAAAAAATTACAAGAAAAGAGGTCAATAAGTCAAAAGTGTCAATAAAAGAAATAATTTTAAAGTAAGTTAAAAAAAGATTAAAAGAACAAATTGTATTTTTTTAAGATATTCTAAATTTAGTGTAATGCAAATTGTTGTTGAGTTTATTCCAAATAACATCCAATA